TCAGCCCCCCAGCTGCCCAGGGCCGGTCTGAGGCACAGACAAGCCTTGGATGGCGGCTGCCCAGCTGCCCAGGGCCGCCTGAAGCTCAGGTAACCAGGGCAGGCTGAGGCTCGCGCTGCCAGCAGTGGCAGCAGCAGAGGTGTGATGGGGCATCGCCTTCCCCTGATCACCAGGTCGCCTCCCGCCCCTGAGGGCTCCAGGATTGTGAGAAGGGCAGGCCGGGCTGAGGGACCCCCCCTCCAGTGCATGAATTTTCATGCACCAGGCCTCTAGTCTATATGTGTGTGTGTGTGTGTGTGTGTGTGTGTGTGTGTGTGTGTGTGTGTGTATATAAAGCCAGCGACTGGAACGCTGTAATGACCAGAACAACCGGTCACTATGACACCTACTGTGGCCAGCGAACTGGCCCAAATGGGGGTGGGGTTGGCTGGCCAACCGCCCGCAGCCCCTCCCCACAGCCGGCCCGCTTCTTATTGGCCTCTCCCACCCCGATTGAGGCTGGGGCAGCTGGCCAACACCCCCACGGCCCTTCCCCACGGCTGACCTGCCCTATTGCCTCCCTACTCCTATAGGAGGCGGGGCCTGCTGGCCAACCTCCTGCAGCCCCTCCCCCATCTGGCCCCAGCCCTGATTGGCCCCCACCACCTTGATCCGCCCTCAGCCTCTTCCCCCGGCCAGCATGGCCCCTGATCGCTCCCCCACCCCAATAGGAGGTGGGGTCAGCTGGCCAACTTCCTATGGCCCCTCCCCCCAGCCAGCTCTGCCCCAGATTGGACCCCCCCAACTCTGATCAGGGGCAGGGCCGGCCAGCCTCCCACTGTCTCCTCCTCCCAACAGGCCCGGCCCCGATCCACCCTGATTGGGGCCAGGACCCGCCGGACCCCTCCCATGCACAAATTCATGCACTGGGCCTCTAGTCGATAATAATGAGAATAGAAAATTTTTATTGGAGTGTATAACTTGGTAATAATTGTCTCTTTTTTGTTGTTTTCTCTTTTTAAAATTGATTTTAGAGAGAGGAAGTGTGTGTGTTGTGTGTATGAGAGAGAGAGAGAGAGAGAGAGAGAGAGAGACTTAGATGTGAGAGAGAAACATTGGTCTGTTGCCTCCCGTTGACGCCCTGACTGGGGGTCAAATTCACAACCTGAGCATGTGCCATGATCGGCACTATAATCCATGACCTTTGGTGTATGGGAGATCACTCCAACCAACTGAGGCACACCAGCTAGGGCAATAGCTATCTCATTTTGAAACATTGAACATTTGCAACTATGGGCTCTCCCTTTTTGGTAGATAAGATAGTGCTTTATTAGCTTACCTATTTTTATTATTATATGTAAAAAAAAATATTCAAAGTCATTTTATTTTTAAAAGCCTGGTACTTATATGTATACTATTATCTTATGTTAGGCTCTAATAAAATTCCATTTCCTTAGCTTAAGTGTAGATGCATATTCTTTGGATTTAGAAACTAAACCAAGCTTTGCAAACTTTTTTTAATACTCTGCCTCTGTTTAACTTTTTAAAAGAGTCTTCCTTGAGAACTATTCATAGGTAGTATTGCGTTCTTAATTATACAGTAAACTAGAGGCCAGGTGCACAGATTTGTGCACCAGTGGGGTCTCTCGACCTGGCCTGTGGGGATAGTGGACCTCCATGCTACTACAGCCTGGCCTTACCCACCGGCTTGGCGGGTTCCAGCTTCTGTCCGCATCAATCTCGCACTGCACCAAGTAGTGTGCAAAGTGGCAGGCGGCCGGGGAGGAGCCCGAGCCCCAGCCAGGTGCCGTGCCACTCCTGCTCATCCCAGCCGCCGCTGCTCGGTAGGCTCCCTGCCACTCTGCTGCAGTCTCTGCGCGTTTGTCCTAGGGTGATATGAGTGCAGCGCCCGTGACCACACAGCCGCCGCTTGTCATTGCAACCTTGCTCCTCACACAGCGCTGGAGAAGGGGCCATGGGCTCGTGCCCAGTCAGTACGGATGCTGGTCCCAGATTCCGGTCCCAGTCCAGATGGGGGAGGGATGCGCAGTGGGAGTGTCCACGAGAGAGGCTCGCACTGCCGCAGCTGTGCTTGCCAGCCATGAGCACGTTGGTCAGCTGAGCGATGCTCCCACTGTGGGAGTGCACTGACCACCAGGGGGCAGCTCCTGTGTTAAGCATCTGCCCCCTGGTGGCCAGTGAGCGTTAGAGCTACTGGTCGACTGGTTGCTTAGGCTTTTATATATATACTAGGGTCCCAGTGCACAAATTTGTGCACCTTGAAAGGAACAGTGGGCCACGAGGCTGAGTGGGCACAGGGGCGTGTCTCGGCCCATCCTCCCGGCCCCTCCTGCCGTGACCCCCGGTCTCCTGCCTGCCAGCAGCCCTGCTCCCGCCGCTGCTGCTCCCACGTGCGATGGCACAGAGTGATTGGGGTCAGCACCAGCAGCGGTTACGAGTGGGGCTGGCACCATCAGCAGGTGTGAGCAGTGGCTGCCGGCCATGATCGCCCTTCAGGAGCAGGGGGAGGTGGAGAAGCCCTGAGAGGCCATCAGGGCTGGCAGCCACTGCTCGCACCCGCTGACAGCACTGAGCGATCAGTGCTGGCACCCAGTGCCAGCAGCAGGTGCGAGTGACATGCGGGACCTCAGTGAGCGGGAGCAAAGAATTTTCAGTAACCACCAGAAGCTTGCCCCGATGACAGCGACCAGCGCCTCACCTTGGTCTGGCGCCCCCACTCACCTGCTCCACTATCCCACCGCAGCCGACGCCCACCATGTTCCACGCTCTGCTGCGCATGCTCACTATGTTCTGCGCCTGCCCCCTGGTGGTCACCACACATCATAGTGACCGGTTGTTTGGTTGTTCCGCTGTTTGGTCTATTTGCATATTAGCCTTTTATTATATAGGACTAGAGGCCCAGTGCATGAAAATTCGTGCATTTGGGGGGGGTCCCTCAGCCTGGCCTGCATCCTCTCACAGTCTGGGTGCTCACGCGGGATGTATACCTGCTGGCATAGGCCCGCTTCCCCAGGGGATCGGCTCTAAGCTGGCAGTCAGACATCCCTCTGGCAGCCTGGGAGCCCTTGGGGGATGTACAACTAACAGCTTAGGCCTTCTCCCCACAGGATTGTTCAGTCGCTTAGGCTTTTATATATATATGCACCAATGGAACTTCAGTTCATTGTTTAATTTCCCTCTCTCTGTTAGTCGGACATTCTTAGTGCTGCCGCAGAATTGGGAGAGGCTCCCACCACTGCTGCTGCACTCACCAGCCGTGAGCCCGGCTTCTGGCTGAGCAGTGCTCCCCCTGTGAAAGTGCACTGACCATCAGGGGGCAGCTCCTATGTTGTGCGTCTGCCCCCTGGTGGTCAGTGCAAGTCATAGCAACTGGTTGTTCCTCCGTTAGGGTCAATTTGCATATTACCCTTTCATTATATAGGATAGACTAGAGGTCTTGTGCATGAATTCGTGCACAGGTGGGGTCCCTCGGCCTGGTGGGTGATCGGTGCTCATTGGTGCCATCTCGCCCAGTCCCAATTGGGGCTGGCTGGCTGCGGGGAGGGACTGCAGGAGGTTGGCCAGCTGGGGGAGGTTAGCTGTGGGAGTGCACTGATCACCCAGCTGTCTGACAGGAAGGACCACGGGAGGTTGGTGGTCACGAGAGGTTGGCTGGCCATGGGAGGTTGGCTGTGGGAGTGCACTGACCACCAGGGGGCAGCTCCTGTGTTGAGCGTCTGCCCCCTGGTGGTCAGTGTGCATCATAACAACCTGTTGATGTCTTGTTAGGTCATTCAGTCATTCGGTCACTTAAGCTTTTATATACTGTATATATATATATATCCCACGTTCAAAGGCTGTTAAATCTCATTGTTTACCCATATCTTCAGAAAAAAATCACTTCTACTGTCGTGGTAAATAACCTGCTTCCCTATTTATAATGGTCTGGCCCTCTAGCAACTTCAGCGTGAAATTATAGCTAATTTGCCTACAAAAGTCAGGTGGTCATAATAATCTGGCCACTCAGTGTATATTGATATGCACCAATGGAGCTTCAGTTGATTGTTTAATTTGCCTCTATTTGTTAACTATTCACTTTTGCCTTTCAAAGGCAATGTACGTAAATTTGAAGTTAATGGCATAAGTCTAGAGATGTTCTCTAAGTAAATGATACTTAAGTTCCTCCCTACCTGGAAAACCTGTATTCTCTTTTACATTCATGTATTGCTAATATTTATGGTACTGAAGCTCCCTCTCCTCCTCCCCCCCCCCCCCCCCCCCCCCCACATTATTGCTTTAGTGATTCATTGTTTCAGCAACACTAATCTGGGGCTTTGGTCCTACTGAAAGTGCTCTCTTCCCTTTCCCACCAGTAGTTGATTCTGTCTCACTTTATAAGAATTGGTAGTGAAGTAGAGATTTTTTAGCTTGTTTTTAGCTTTATAAATATACAGAAGTGCTGCTGGGATTTCCTGCTCTGTGGTGCTTTCTTCCCACTCTTTCAACATTGACACACTTGTTGGAATTCCTACAAGTGTTGTTAATTGCAAGATTTGTGATATAATTGTTTAACTTTTGGTAATTTGTTTTGGGTAAATTTCTCTTTGGGGTTCATCAGTGTTTCTTGCATTGTTGCCAACTATATGCCAATTATATTTCAGACCTGATAAAAATGAGTAAATTTTTAAAAAAAAAATCTAAACCGTACCAATTGTTTTTGAAATTTCCATACCAGTTGTATTTTAAATTCAAAATTTTTAGTAGGATGCTAACTCACAACACTTTGAGTACTGAAAAGAATATTTTGATTACTAAAAAGGACCTTTAGTTTTTACTGTTATTGTTGTGTAATTTTGTCAAATTAATTGGAAAAATCATTCACCTTTAACTCATATCATTTGATACATTTTTTATATCCTCTAAGATAGTTGGCAGCATTGTCCTTGATTCTCAATTGGTTTGGGCTTATATAATGTCTTTTTCTTTTCTCCATTTTTGTTGTTTTTCTTTTGCTTCCTAAGGGCATGATGATACAGCGCCATGTGCAATTTTGAAAAGTATGGATAGTTTTAGCTTTCTCCAACACCCAGTCCACCAGAGGAGCTTAGAGATTCTGCAGAGGTGCAAGGAAGAGAAGTACAGTAAGGCTAAAAATCCTGATAAACTATGTCATCATATATGCATTTGGAAATGGAAACCAGGAGCATTCTACACCAGGGTGGGGCATAAATTATATAGGCAATATGACCTCCAGAATCCTTTGACCAGTCGGTCTCAGGATATTTTTAATGAAACTTTAGTTTTTTCTCTTAAAAAAGTTGATATACCTGTTCTTTTAATTTGAATGTCTGTTTGCCTGTGATCCTTGAGTTTTTAATAATATTTTGTTACAGACTCTGAATTGATTTTTCTTTTTGGCTCTAAAGTAGCTGAGTGGTGGGTAAAAATGAACAGTGATTTTCTTTCCTGCTGATTTTTTTTGAAGCTTTATTGAAATCTAATTGAGGTAAAACAAACTGCATGCAAAAGCATAAAGTTTGGTAAGTTTTTACATATATATGCACCTGTGAAATCATTAACCACAAGATGATTAATATATCCAACACTACTACAAGTTTCCCCTTGCAAATTCCTGCTGATTTTTATGTTTGCTTGTAGTTGAATTTTAACATCAGCAGTGTTGCTTTAGTGTATCATTGGTAAATTGCTTAGTTTGATTGCAGTTCTCCTATCAGACTTTCTTATGTCTGGTTTAGAGCAAAGCTACCACATTAATGTTTTGGCTTAAGGAAGAATAACAGAATCATAGTGGATGTTCTTTTTTCTTTTAATAAGTTGGTGTAAAATGATGCTCTTGGTCTCCATTTCCTCCTTTTCTATTTGTTATACTCCTTCTGCATAAAAATGGGTTCTTTTGCCTGTTGTGGGATTACAGTTATTTGGCTAACTGAAATAATGAGAATAAAAAAATACTACAGAATACTTGATGCTTAACTCAGAAATTTGCATATAATGGATCTAAACTACTTACATTTTCTGTTGTAAGCTTTTTACAGTACACTACAGATACACTTTGCTAATTTCCCAGTTTTGTGATTGAAATTCCATGAAATTTTAGTATCCAATTATCAGTGAATGAAATTCCTAAAAGCAAATGTTATGTTTTTTTTCTTTCTTTAAAAAAATATTTTTATTGATTTCAGAGAGGAAAGGAGAGAGAGATAGAAACATCAATGATAAAAGAGAATCATTGGTAGGCTGCCTCCTGCATGCCCCACATGGGGGATTGAGCCCACAACCTGGGCATGTACCCTGACTGGAATCTAACCGTGACCTCCTGGTTCATAGGTCGATGCTCAACCAGTGAGCCATGCCGGCCAGGCTATGAGTTCTTTTCTTTAGTTCTTCTTATTCTGTCTTGGTATAAGAAAACATGTAATGTATTTTGAAAAACATTATTTAAAATGTTTTCTCATTTTAAAAAGAACAGAGGTAAGTATTTCATTAAAAAAAGACATTTTAAATGTTATTGTTAATTATTGCTATTATTCTAAAAGGTATACAAGTCCTTATTCCATTTATCCACCTTTTTTTAAAAAATATTTTAATCTATGGGACATTGTTTAAAACAATCTATAGATCTTTTCTGGGTAGCTTAAATTAATTGTTTTTAACTTGTAAATAGTTGCAAGTGGTTTATTTGTTTTGGTGATGTTCATGTCTCTCAGCCTGACATTCTTAGGCTTAATTGTATTCTAGCTTGGTATATATAGGCCCGGAATAGGAAAGCACAAATTTCAGCACAGGCTGTATAAGGAAATTGTACATTTACCTGTGTTCACATGCAAATTTATTTCTACATTTGTGTAAGTTGGACTTTTTCCATTATTTTAGGTAGTTTATTCCCTTTTCCATTGTAGTACTACCAATAATTAAAATTTTGTAATATATAAAATTATAAACTCATGTTTGGGAGATTGTTTTAAAAACAAAATCGGGACTACTAGCTTTAGGTGATGGTAAATTGGTGAGGTGAATGAACCCTCTCTCAGGTAAAAATGATAAAACCTTGAAAAAAATTCAAAATAACTATTTGAAAGAACTGGAAAAAGATTCCAAAGACTAGAAGACCAAAAAAAGACCAACAAGAAGCAGAAACTTGAGGAGAATCATTCTTTAAGTAGCGGGTAAGAATTGTGAATGTGTGCCTTTTTGCACAAAGTACTTCCCAACTCCCATCTAGTTATCTACACTAATAAAAGACAAAGATGCTAATTGACTGTACCTTCGCTATGCCCTAAGCCACACCCACCAGTTAATTAGAGCGACTGTATGCAAATTAACCCAACCAAGGTGGCTGCAGCCACAGAGCTGGAGCAAGCAGGAGGCTTGGTTGCCCAGGCGATGGAGGAAGCCAAGCTTCCCATCCTCCCTGAGCCAGCTGTGGCCTCCGCTCATGGCAACAAAGTTTCAATAATAGAAGACAAATAAATCCCAGATACCTGCTTCCAGCCAGCCTCCACTGGAAGCTTGGATGGCTGGGGACCGTGGCCAGCCTGCAAAAAGCCATCAGCCCCTCACACAGGCTGGCCACACCCTCAAGGGATGAGGGTCCCTGCTGGGGGGCTTAGCCAGCCTGAAAACAGCCCTCAGGCCCTCTCCCAGGATAGCCAAGAACCCCAGCAGGACCCCCACCCTGAGGAGCTGTGGCCAGCCTGCAAACAACCATCAGCCCCTCACCCAGGCTGGTCAGGCACTCCTATATAATAAAAGGGTAATATGCAAATTGACCCTAACAGCAGAATGACTGGGAATGACTGGTCACTATGACACACACTGACCACCAGGGGGCAGACGCTCAATGCAGGAGC